CAACTTGGGCAATATAGAGAGACCCCCATCTTTTTTTTTTTTTTGAGACAGAGTCTCACTCTGTCACCCAGGCTGGAGTGCAGTGGCGTGATTTTGGTTTACTGCAACCTCCACCTCCCGGGTTCAAGTGATTTTCGTGCCTCAGCCTCCCAGGTAGCTGTGATTACAGGCGCATGCCACCGCGCCTGGCTAATAATTGTATTTTTAGTAGAGACGAGGTTTCACTGTGTTGGCCAGGCTGGAGAGAGACGACCATCTCTAAAGTAATAATAATTTAAAAATCAGCAGGGCAGGGCGGCATGCAGCTGCAGTCTGGGCGCCTTGGGAGGCTGAGTCATGAGAAGGTTTCAGCCCAGGAGTTGAAGGCTGCAGTGAGCTGTCATCTTACCAATGCACTCCAGCCTGGTCTCCTTCTTTGAAACATAAATAAATGAAAAATTTACAAATGGCAAACCTGAGCCCTCTTGATTTGAGGTGACAGAGGAGGAGGTGGACAGCAGGCTGCCTGCAGGCTATGCTGGCCTGGTGTGGGCGCCTCCGCGTCAGTGCGCTGGGTCACACAAGCACGTGCTTGCTCTGAGCAGCAGCTGCCCCGGCTCAGGGTAGCTTGGCCTCACTGTTGCTGGTGTGTGTTTCCTGGGGTCTGCTTTGGTGCAAAGCCTGCTCTTCATGTGGTGCTGGCTGCCCACGTGGCCTTAGTGCTGCCCCACCCCCTGCCCTACCCCTGCCTGGCCAGAGAGCCTGACTGCCCACTCTTAAGTACTTCCTCTTCTGGCCTGTGACCATGGTGATTGTCTGTTCTGGATTTGCTAGAAGGCCAATTTTGCTTTCCTCAGTAAAGATGTTTTGAAATTCGTGTTTACACTTTCATAAGTTTTTTTCATATAGGTAAATGGGCGTATCAGGAAACAGTTCTTTGACAAATTGTCTTGGTTTCTGCCTCATAAATATGTGGTCATTCGGCCTGGAGTGATGGTCTCTGAACTGTTCACCTGCCCTCAGACTGGACCTTGACCTTGTTGAATTCTCCTCCTTGGAGAGGCCTTCCTTGAATGTTCACCCTAAAACAGTCTCTCCCCATCACTGCAGCTGAAAGCAGTTGATGCCCCCCTCCCCCGCAGTGTGAACTTCCCCTGTCCCCTTCACTGCATACCCCCAGCACCTACAACAGCACTCCGCAGGTGGTCACAAGCTTATAGTTCAGTTCACCCTGATTTCCAGGACTAGTTCTGGGTCACTGCTCTCAGCCAGAAACCAGTACATCCTGGGACCCCTTACCAGGAACATTCTAAGTCGATGACTGATGAGTTTGACGTTCTCCCATCTGCCAAGGGTCAGTATGGAGGGAGATGCATCGACCGTAGCTCTCCATCCCCATGGCAGACGGGCCCAGAGGGGCCTGGACCACCAGATGGCCTGTATCAGAACAGAATGGTCCCCCGCTCGCTGGAGAGACAAGTATTCATCCTAGATGACCTCAGGGGCCCGAGATGTGGAGAATGGTGCCATTGGCCTGCATCCGGCACAGAGAGCAGCAGGGCCGTCTTGCCCCTTGGCCCTCTCCCAGGCCCTGGCTGAGCTGGGTCCCTGCAGAGTGCTCTCAAGGGGCCAGTCCTCAGCTTCCCAGGTCAGAGAATTCCCAGGATGGGACAGGTCATAGCTGGCTTCCAGCTCATTCTGGAATTTCCCATTTCCTGGGAAGAGGGTGAGGTCAAGTTTCCTTTTTCTTTAGCTAAGAACAATAAGACCCAGCCTGGGGAAGGTGCTGGAGCTGTCGGGATTTCTAGGTGTTCAGAGTTCTGGTCACTAGGAGAGCTGGGTGCCTTCTCTGCAGGTGTCCTGGGGCAGAGGGCCCAGCCAATCGCTCTCCTCCTCTGGTGCCTCAGTGTTGCTGGAGAACTGCCCCATCTCGAGCCCCCGTGGAGCTGAGCTGAGCACTGCCCTGACTGTGAACATCTGGCCGAGTCCCCGTCCCTCTCCCAGTCCTCATGTCAGCCTTCCCTGCTTCCTTACAGCCACTGGGCTACTGTCACATCCATATTCTTCCCAGAATCTTGGCATTCCTTCCGGCTCCCAGTAGGGCACCTGGCGTACTGGGGCTCACGATATGTTTGCTGAATTGCTCTCTGTGGCTTTGTGCACTGTCCCGAACAATCTTTCCCCCATCCTTTCATGGGGCCCATTGCTTCTGCATTTCAGGAAGATTGGACCCAGGGGCCAGACAAACTAGACCCTGTCTCTGAAGTCAGGCCTTGGGAGCTGATGTCTGGCATGACCCATGGGACAGCCTCCACCACACCCTGACATGCCCTCACTCTTCACTGAAGAAAGCCAAGCAGGCCAGAGGTGGTCCTCATCTCCCCACTGGGGGCCTATGGGCTGTCAGGGGGCCTCCTCTCTCCAAAGCACCCTTTGGTCTCTGTTGTAACCTGCTTTCTGGACCGGCTGAAAGCTTTGTGTGTGTGTGGTCAGGGAGGTGGAGTGAGCGGGTATATGCATGTATCTATGTATTAGAGGGGTCAGGCCCGCACACACGTGGTCAGTTTTCAGCTCTGCACCCCCAGCTCCCAGTGCCCACCCATTGGATGACTCACCTGAGCTTCCCACACCCACATCTCCTTTATGAAGAAACGGCTTCCTAACCATGGCACACGAGTGCATTATTCTGGGGAAAGGAATGGTGCTGCTGCGGCCAGGGGGGAGCAGTTCGAGGGGCTGAGGGCACCAGTGTCCTCCTCAAATCCTCACTGAGGAGAGGCTCTGATTTAAGGCGAGCCCTCCCTGTTGGGAGAGCAAAAGAAACAGCACGACACGGTGTGCTCAAGTGACATCTTTCAATATAATCTCTAAAACTCTATGAATTGAACAGATAAAATACCTCTGGGCTATTTTGTTACAAAATATTTGCCATTTGGATTAGTTGCTGGGTGCAGCCACCCTGCCTTTCCCTAGAGAGGTTTCTCTCTGATGGGCGAAGGGTGTGCGGGGAGAGGCAGCGGGAGGTATGTACAGCAGACACAGGGACGGACGGACAGATGGTCTTCAGGGACGCCTAGTAGGTACAAAGAGACTCCTGGCTGGCCACGGGGGCTGGTGTGGGGGGGGGGTGGCGAAGACGCAGGGCTGATCAGCGTGTGCTGGATCAAGACATGTGGAGACAGGCAGGCAGGCTTCCAGAACAAGCTGCCGGCAGGCCTCGTTTCAGATCTAGGAGTGGGATTTCCCTAAAAGTGGGCGGAAAACTAGTTTCATCTCCTATTGCAGACTGGAGTTGGGGCCAAATGGATGAAATCAGGAGAGGGGACCAGGTTTCCCAAAGGTGGGGTGGAGTGGGGCCATCTTGGGGTGATTAGGTCTGGGGCTTAGTCAGCAACCTACTCTTCCCGCAACCTTGGAAGAGCAGGAAGGCCCAAGGGCACCCACAGCCGGCGCTCTGCGGGGGGCTGGAGGCCCTACCCTGTCTGATGTCCTGGGGAGGGAGCAGGAGGCTTTTCCCAGCTCCCTGAGCTCTGGGCTCTGGGGACAGGGACAGAGAGGGGTCCCAACCTTGGCCTGGGGACTTAGCAGGGAAGGGAGGTTACTGATGCTTTCCCCTGACAATAAGGAGGGCCAGCTGTGTCCTGCCTCAGGCCCTCAGGGGTTAAATGCCCCTCTTAGCTCAGGACTGGCTCCCCAGGGTGCTGACCCGAGGCTGGGCTGCTTCATAGGCAGACTCCCTGTGCTGCCTATGCAGGGCAGCACTGCACCAACCCAAGGGGCGGGCCTCTGCCCTGGGGCAGGGGCCTTGAGGTGCCTGATAGTCCTGGTTCTCAGATAGAGGCCCACATGTGAGCCAGCCCTAAGACTTGCTAGCCCCAATTTGGAAGGCTGGGGCTTCAGCTGAAGTGAGAGGGAGGGCCTGGGGTTGCTGTGCCCCTCAACAGGGGAGAGGGCACTTTGTAAGCTTGAAGAGCTATGTGATCAGGGGACCGGGTCCTGCCTGTCAGGCTGGGGCTGTCTGGAGCAGTGTCCCGGGCCCCCACGGCCCCCACCCCATGAGTATATTTAGCCAGTCTCATAGCTCCTCTTCCCCCATACCTCATACTCCTGCCTCTTCGTCATTGTTTTCACTCTATTTTCAGCTTCTCTTATTTTAAGATTCCTCCACTCCCATTCTCACAACCCCACCTCCTCCCAAGTCCCTGACACCTCTCCTCCAGGCCTTCACTTTAAGGGCGATCCCTGCCCTGGCCAAGGGCATCAGAGGTGTCTGAATTTGTGCACCACATCTGCCAGCTGCTCCCTTCTGCAAGGCAATGACTGGAGCATCTCTGTTACAGAGAACAGAGGAGGGCCAGGGCAGCAAGGAAAGGGAGAAGCAGACAGGCTGGCAGCCACAGGGGAGAGGGCAAATTGGCTGCAAGTTACAGAAACTGGGACGACAGAGACAGGGCCAGAAATAGACTCGCTGGGTGACATCACAGTGACGTCTGGGTGACCACACACACACACACACCCACACACGAAATGAAACTAGGTCATCTGGAATCTTTGAGAGCAGGGAACAATCCTTGCCTCCTACCTGGCCCCGGCTACTGCAGGTGGGGCTGGGCGGGGGGTGGGGAGATGCAAGTCCATGTCAGACTTGATTCGTGTTCACTGCCTCTCCCAGGAGGCCTTAACCACAGGCTCCAAGTTGCAGGGAGACCTGCACACAGGACAGCAATGAGTTGCTGGCACAGGGCTGGAGCCTGGCCGGGCTTGGGACAGATTCGACCCGATAGGGCCTGACGGGGAAGGCCATGGTACGGCTCCTGTGGTCTCTGGGGCAGCTGCCTCTCCTCCAGCGAGGGAGGGGCCCTTCCCCAGGCTTGGGCTTGTGGAGCCACCTGAGGCTGGCTGTCCCATCCTGAAGGGGTGACCTGGGCCCTGGGAGACAGTGAGCTCCGCTTGGCTCTCCTTTGCAATTTTGAGGGTCCAGGGACTCTTGGGCACCCTTGCTGGAGCGGGTGTCTAGAACCTTTCAGGAGGGGGGAATATTTAAAGGCTGAGGGGTGCAGGGGAAACGCATATGCCTTTGGATCCCCTGTTTTTCTTGCTTACCTCTGCACCCAAGTCCCTCTTGGAGGCCACAGACGCATGCAAGAGGGAGCCCTGACTTGGACCGAACCCCGTCTCCACTTCTGCTTCCACGATGGAAGAAATGGACTTGGTTCTCACGCACGTTCGTGTGCATGTGCCTGTGCGCACGTGGCACTGGCTGGGTATTAGCTGGGGCTAGGGAACTAGGAAACTCTTTTAAAAGGTGCATTTGCAGATACATGACTTCACAATCCCATGGCCCTGTTGAATTGACTGGCAGGGAGCTAAAAGTGCTCCCCTTCCCTCCTCCCTCTCTCTAAGCTTTTCTGGAGTCTGGGCAGCTCCTGAGGAAGCAGAGGTCCTGGGAAGAGGGAGAAGAACACGGTCAGGAAAGCCAATGTCCCTGGGGACCAAGGAATAGCCTCCTGAGAGTGCCAGGCTTGGGGGTGGGGGCAGCAGAAAAAGCCCCCCTCCTCACTCCTCCCACCCTCCAGGGAGCTGGACCAACCCTCCTCCCCTCAGCACAGCCACAGAGGCGCTAGTCATGGACTGTGAGCCAGAGATCTTCTGTCTAGTGCTCCGCTGCTGGCCAGCCCAGCCCCGTGCTGCTGCCCCATGGCCTGAGGCCCCCACCCCCGGCACTAATAGACTCAAAGCCCGCAAGCTAGTTAGACCCTCAGCTCCAGCTTTCTTCACTCCATGGTCCAATGGGGGAAAGTGGCGGCCAGGGGAAGTGGTGGCCCAGGAGAGTGAGGTGGTATCTTCAGATCTGGAGGTGAGGTGCAGCCGAGAAAGGGAAGGATGGCTGGATGAGGCAAACCCAGGTGCCAGGGGTTGGGATTCTTTTCCCAAAATGATGGCGATCAGTGACCAGGAACGCATTGTGCCAGGGTATGGGGAGCAGCGGAGGGGCAGCGCAGGCCCTGCAGTGGCCAGCCCTCCCCGGACAGCAGGGTAGTGGGGCAGAGTCTACACCAGGCTCCTTGAACCACTGGAGTAGCGGCGTCGGTGCAGCAGGGAGCCTGGTGGACAGAACTGGTGAGGGTGATTGTAGGGGGGTGGGGGTGGGGGCAGCGGGGGCTGGTGGATGACCTTGACCGGGGAGCCGGGGCCGCCCAGGGGTGTGGAGCCACAGGAGTCCGAGGAGGACGAGGTGTAGCAGGAGAGAGCCTGGCTCAGCAGGGGCTCCATGCGGGCCAGGCAGGGCTTGTCCAGGACAATGACCTTGACAATTTGCTGGCACTGCACCAGGGTGCCCGGGGGTGTGGGTGGCGGCGGTGGCGGCAGTGGCGGTGGGGGCTGCTGTCTCAGGGGGCTAGGCTGCAGGTCTGGCGGCAGTGCCGGTGCTCCCTTCTCGGCCCCCAGCCCGGAGTTGTGCTGGGACGTTTGAAGCCTGTTGTGAATTGACACCTAGTTTAGAAACAGCCAGAGAAGCATGAAATGTTACAAGACTAATTCCCAGCTGCTAGGACAGGCTGCCCTGAGCCTCCCCTGTCCTCCCTCCCACCTCAGCCCTTACTCCGACACTCTCCCCATCTCTCCATCTGCAGGAAGACTGGGTTCTGACCCTGGCTTTTGCCCAGGAGGGAGAGAGGAGTCAAGAGGCTGGCATGTTCTGCCACTGACCGTGAGCAGCGTCGCTCTGCGGCCTCAGTCTCCTCATCTGTGAGGTGGGCTCTGCATAGCTCTGCACCTGACTTCATGGACCTGCTGGGTGTCTCTGGGCTATGGGAAAACTCCTCTCCACCTCCTTTTCCACCACACTCTGAGCTTGAAAGCCGAGGTCATGGTCTTTGCTCCTCCCCACCCCCCAGGAGTGTGTTGAGGCAAAGGAGTTCAGATCCAGGGATAGAGCCAAGCATTTTCGAGCCTTTCATGTCCCTCTGTTCCCTCCAGCCTTGTTACAGAGGAAGCCTCACCGGCATCTTTGACATCACAGAGGCTTAAACCCCAGAATGCCAGGGATCCCTGAAGGGGTGATCTGGACCTACCTGTCCTCCGAGACTCCCCAAGGCCATGACCCTGCAATTGGAGAGCAGCCCAGACAACCGAGGGCAGAGCCAGCTCCCCAGCTACCGTTTTGGCCCAAGCTGGGTCCTGGTTAACTTGCCTGGCTGCAGGAGGGTATCCCCAGAGAGGGCTCTAACCTCGATCCCTGAGGCGGGGCAGGAGGATGTGGCCCAGATGGTGCTCATGAGCCCCCTCCCTCAGACCATGGAGTTCACTATGAACTAGCCTGGCCTCCCCTTGCTAGCAGGGGGAGGGGGAGGAGATGGGTGGAAGGGAGGCTAGAGGATTCTGGAAGGAGAGGGATTTAACTCCTCACACTGTTCCACCCCCAAGCTGCCCTGCCTATGACTAGGACACCATGCACTCCCCTCCAGACACCTGGTCCTCTGGGGGAGGCTGAGACCCCCCTCCTCTCTGGTGATTTTCCTGTTGGGCTGCCATCTGTCCTCAGGCAGCACCACCTAGGGCTGGTGCTCAGAGCACAGAGGGGGAAATGGAAGCTGCAGGGGAGGTACCTCGTCCAGGCCTAGACCCAGCTGGCCCAGCCCAAAACTGTCCTGGCGCCCTAAAGCAGCACTTCCTCATCCTGTTGGCTACAGCTGGAATTCAGGGAATACCTTTCCCGGACCTGTGCACTCCTAGGGGTGGCTTCCCTCCCGAGGCTCCCCAGTCTTTGTCTGCCCCCCAGTATTCACGAGCCCTCTGCCACACTCGGCATGTCGCAGGCTTTATTCTTCCTTCTCAGCCTCCAACCTTGGCACATTTTCCAGGCCTGAGGTCCTGCTACACAAATGAAAGGTGCCCTGAGCCCCTCACTGTCCTTCTAAGAAATGGCAGGCAGAGAGCATGGCTGGGGCCCACCTGCCTCTGGGGAGCCCTCCAGGGTCCTCACTCAGGCAGAAGCCGCTGGAGGGCACAGGCTCCTCTCCCTCCTGCTTGTATTCTGAATTCTTCCCCAGGAGCCAGGACAGGCTTGTGCTCATCTGCCTTCCTCCACCGGGACCTAGTAGTGGCCCCTTCCCAGGTGAATTTCTGGCTGTTCCAGTCCAGATCCACTGAGCTGTCCTTCCCTCTGAAGCTCCCGCACAGCACCCGCTCGGGGCCACAGCCTGTGCCTCCCATTCACCTCGCTCACTCTGGTCCCTCCACTGCACCCCCATCCCCATCCCAGTTTTGATCCTTTCTCTTTAGTGGTCAGTAAGTGAAAAGCAGGAAGTGACAGCAAAAGGTCCTGTCTGATCCCCTTCTCACCTCCCTGCTCATGAAAGAAAGAATGAGGGGAGTGGGGAGACAGAGGATGGAACATGAACAGCAGGTCAGAACAGCTCAGAGAGGATGGAGAAGCGCCTGCCAGAGGGCCTTGGTCAGCAACGGCAGAGAGGGCAGAGGAGAGAGAGCTTGGGGTCCAGCTGAGGCCATGGGCGGCGAGGCTGTCCTCTGTGCGGGAGAGCAGAGGCTGGCGGGGCCCTGGAGCTAGCTGAGGGTGGCAGCCTTGCAGATAGCCACATGCCCTTAGGCAGGGCAGGAGGGAGGAGTGCGTCAGGCTGGTTGTCCTCCCTGGGTAGCTCAGGCTAGGGCAGGGCAAGGCTGGCAGAACGGAACGGAGAGCTGGGCACTTTTGTGCTTATCTGCAAGGCTCAGGAATGGGCAGCTGCAGAGGATGCGGAGCGGAGGGGGCGGGGAATGGAATACCCACCCTGGGGGCTTGTCAGCTGCTGGGGCAGGAAGCTCCTCCTTGTAAAGGTGCCTCCTCCAGACACGGGTGTGTGGGGGGTGGGGGCCGTGGGAGAGAGAGAAGACACTGAGCTCCCCTGGGGTATCCTGCTGCTTCCCAGGGCGTAGTCAGACTGGTGGGTAGGGCGTCCTCCTAAGACACCTAATGCGGGCCCCTCTGGCTGGAAGTAGGGGTTGGGAAGGGAGGTGTCTGTATGAGCAGCTGGTGGCCCTGGGAGGCCTGGCAGAAAAGGAGTGTAGCTGGGGCTACTGGGGTGCAAGAAGAACCAGTGGGGGAGGGGTGGGGCTCACGAGGTTTGTAGGACCACCTGCATGCTCCTCCTCTAGGTGGCACTGTGGGGGCTTAGCAGGGACCCCTGCTGCTGGCTCTTCTGCAGTCCCTTGCTACGTGGCATGGAGATAGGCAGCCTCCCCTCCACCACGGACGGTCTTCAGGGTTAATCCTCTTCCCTCAGGGAAGCCCCTGAGGCATCCCCACCCTACTCCGTCTCATTTTCTTTTAGACACATCCCTACGCTGTGGCCAGCTTTCCAGAAGGACCAGCGGTTCCAGGGAAGCACTCCCTCTCCCAGCTGCCCCCAAGTTACAATTCTCCAGCCTAGCCCCAGGTGTCCAAGAGGGCAGGGTCTGCCCCAGAAGTGAGTGCTTCGCTTGGGGCCTGACCTCTCCGGAGGGAGCCCAGGCTCCCTGCTATGGAGGGTGGGAGGACCCGGGGAAGGCGATGTGGGGTCCTCTGATACAGCAAGTACTGAGGGAGCGGTGAGCAGCGGGCATTTGCTGGGGAGGTAGATTTGGGGGCACACTGGAAGGATGGCCCTAGGGTGTCGTGGGCTCCGTCTCCACTGTGTTAGTCTGGGAGCTCGGCCTCAAAGGGCAGTGGGCTGGGGAATGGGGAGAAAGAGCTCGCGGCTTAATTAGGCGCTGGAACAGCGGTGTTACCCATGCTAGCAGTAACTTTTAACTGTATCTCTTGAAATTGGTAAAATGGTGAGTCGGGCTGGGGAGGCATTGATTAATACCTGAGAAGAGAAACAACAGAGACCGTGAGAAGAAGGACAGGGGGCAGGGAGTCACTCACCTGGGCAACCAGGGCTCCACTTACCTCCACCGTGCTCTCCGCGGGCTTCTCCCTGAGCGCAGCTTCCCTTTTGGCTTTGAATGCAAAGAGCACAGGGCTCATTCTCCACTGGCTGAGCCAAGCCCCTGCCCCTCCCTGGCACCCCTCAAGCACCTCTGCAGCTAAGACTCAGGGTCATACTGCTCCCCGCTGAGGTGGAGGTTGGGAGCCCCACTCTGCCACTTAGGAGCTGTGTGACCTTGGGCTAGATGCTACATCACCCTGGACCACTACAGACTAGCAGCTCTCTGCTGCTCTTTCTGGGGCTGGCATTGTGGAATCTGCTTTACCCACAGTCAAAGCCTTCCCAGTGCGGACTATGAAAGCTGGCTTGGAGGGGCCCGGGCTGTGGGCACCATGTTCATCAGCCTCCATAGACCACAGGCTTCTTGAGTGTGGGCCACACGGCTTTGCTCCCATCCCTGCAGACTGGCTGAGTGGAGAGGACTGCATGGGCTGAGTCCTACATGGCACTCACGGCAGTGCCTGGCACAATAAGAGCTCATAATGGCTCTGTAATTACTCCCAGGGCCTTCTGACTGGCCTGGCACAGCAGCAGGGACCCTGTGGAACCCCACGGACAGCTCGTTGGCTCTTTTTAGCTGAGTCACTCCTGGCTTCCACCCCCATACGGGAGGGAGCCCCACTCATTTCCCAACCCCCGGGGGTGCCAGTTTTCTCCTGCTGTGCACAGCCTCCTCCGCTTCCTGCAGCACTAGAGGGAGCTGCACCGTTGTTTGGGAATGAGAAACACCCTGCTGTGGAGGGGACTAAGGGAAACATCCCTGGGGACAGGCATCCGGGCCTAACCAGGGCGTGCCGCTTCCAGAAGAGAGGCAGGAGGGGATGGCAAGGAAAGACACGCAGCTGAGGGCTGGCTCTGGGGTTTCACAGCTGAGCAAACAAGCAGCGACCCGTGTCCTATGACCTTATAGACAAGAGGAGCCCCACTGAAATCAGGCAGCAAGGAGAATTATGGACGCATGATGGCAGGTCAAACCCATAGAGGGAAGATTCCATCACAGTGAGAATCTCCATGTAGTGAGAAGAGTCCCATGTCCCGCTTGGAGAGTGAATCTCAGTCCCCACGCTGTCTGCTCCTAGTCAGGTGTCAGGGCCAACTGTGGCGGGCCACGGACCACACGGGGCCCACTGCAGTTTCTCAGCTCAAGCTGGCCTCCCGCTGTGACCCTGCCTTTCCAGTGCTCTGCACAGGGCAGCAGCCATTCGAGAAGCGTGTGTTGAGTGTGAGAGTGAGTGGCTGAGTTGACTAACTGGTCCACAGTTGTGGATGGCTTGCTGGGATTTCACGGGAATGAGACTGAATTCTCACGCATCTCTCTTCATTCTCTTTATTTGGGACTGGAGGAGGGGAGATGGTGGAAACCTTGCCTGGCTCCCTGCAGGTGAGGGTGAGGTTGGGGTAGCAGGTGGGAGGTAGGGCACCTTGGGGGGCAGAGGGCACAGGTCTAGGGAACCTGGCCGAAGGAGGGGCCACCTCTGGAGCCAACTCAACTCAGCTGGAGTGAGCAATTCAACTGGAGAAACCATTAGAGAAGTGGAGTTTGAGGGTTTGTCTGGATTTGGGGTGGACTGACCTGGGCCAGGGATTAGGGGTGCTTGTGGCAGGTTAGTGAAGGGACTGCATAGAGAAGAGCAAGATCCAGACCCTTCTGGTCACCCTGCCTTCTCACCCTGCCTGGCTGGAGAGTTTTCCTCATGGGGTTTCTCTTGACCTCGCCTGCCAAGGGAGCCTGGCTGTGGGAGGGAAGGCCCCTGCTGGGGCTGGGCTGCCAGGACTCTTGCCTGACTCCTCCAGGGCAGACGCTGACATCTCACATGGACTCTAGAACTCTGGTGCAGTTTGCAAAATGGACAGACACATTTCTCTCTCGCCATCCTCCTCACTCCCACCACTAAAGCCCATGAGATTAAATAAGGCAAGCCTGGCGCTCCTCAGCAGAAAGAAACAGCCATGGGAATGGGCAGCTGTCCCCCAAAGATTCCCCAGGACCCACACCCAGGGTCCCTGAGTGGCCTCCATGTGGGCTGGTGCCCGGGGCAGAGCCCAGGCTCACCTGTCGGCGATCCTTGCTTTGACTGCGGGTCCCCCTGGGCTCCGCTGGGCTTGAAGGTGAGTGTCTTTGTTCCCTGCTGCTCCTCCAGCTCCCCTAAGGAATGGAGAGACCCGTGAGCAAGAGAAACGCTAAACCCAACACACAGAGGTTAGGGAGGAAATGAGGGGCAAGTGGGAAGGGGAGGAAACAAAGGAGGGGTCCCAGTACATGTTGTGGAACACAGACCTCAGGTCGGGCCCCACCACCGAATATCGAGTTAGACACCCCGTCAGAGCCACGGTCTCCTCATCTGTATGTGGGGATGATCATATCTGCTTGAACGTCAGAGAGGCACAGAAGACGCTGATGTGTGGGAGGTGAACTGCCTGGGTGTGAATCCTGGTTCTGATGCTCCCTGGCTGTGTGGCTCTAGGCAAGTTACCCAAACTCTCCACGCCTCACTTGAGGGGACAGCTGTGCCCACTTCAAGGTGTCATTAAGAGGACCTCGTGGGGAAATACATGTAAAGCACTGAGGACAAGGCCTGGCTAGTTCCCTGTAAGTATTAGGGTTCGTGTGAAAGCAATGGCAAAAACCGCAATGACTTTCGCACCAACCTATATCAGTTTTGTTACAGTGTGTGAGAAGCACCTGGCACAGCACAGCTCTCCACCTGGCACCTGGGAGGACGGAGCCTGCCTGGCCGGCTGAGCCTCCACAAGGTGTTCAAAGCTCTCCCAAGGAGGAAATTCCACACCGAGGGTGTGGAAGCTGCAAGCCTGCAGCGCCAGGGCATCTCCTGGGTACTTCACTTGAACTCCTCTCACTGGACCAGAAACCTGTTTCTTCTTGGTCTTCTCTCAGCGGAGTTTCGGAACTGCTGGCTGCCATCCTTGGAGATTTGACGTCATTATTAAATCACTCCTCGGGCTTCTTTCCCAGGAGACATAACTCCAGTTCCTGTTATTAAAGCTACTCTCCTGGGCTCCATTTTCAGTCTCTCTGGTTGTGTAGAAACCAAAGACACTGAACTGCAGGCCCCAAACCAGAGCAATTTGTCCAGATTGCCTAGATCACACCATCGACCAGTGCTAAATACTTTTACTGAACCGAGAGTTCTTTCTCTCCTCCCAGAGGGGCTATCTTGGCTTTGAAGAAATTAGCATCATAATTACAAGTGAGAAGTCCTGGGCCACTGAATGCAAACCTTGCTTTGTCACTGCCTGTGAACTTGGACAACTTCCCTAGACTTTTAGCCTGTTCCCTTATTTGTAAAATGAGGAAAATAATACCCACTATGAAAAGCTGTTGTGCCAGTTAGCCCAGTGCCCAGCATGTAAGTCCTCAGTAAACGGTAGCTGATACTGTTTTTCACTTTCTTTTTTGTAGAGAGGAGGCCTTGCTGTGTTGCCCCGGCTGCTCCTGAGCTTCTGGGCTCAAGCAATCCTCCCTCCTGAGCTTCCCAAAGTGCTAGGATTATGGGCGGGAGCCACTGAGCCTGGCTCATTTTCTTTCTTCTTTTTTTTTTTTTTTCCTCTCTTTCTTTCCTCCCTGTCTCCCTGGCCTGCCCTTCCTCTTTCCTCAGCTATTCCTTCCCTTTCTCTCCAACTGAAGGCTAAGAGCCAGTGATGAGCCTTTCTTCCTGCTCTTTTACCCTTGAGGCGGCAGGAGAGGATATTCACCTCCCGACATAACAGATTCTGACACTAACTGCTCCTCTGTGACTTTGCGAAGCAGGGTACGTGCCGCTCCTGGGCTGATGGGGGAAGGTGTCTCTCCCAGCAACGCTGGTGCCACTTGGTGTGCTGGCCCCCCAGGGCAGTTCAGAGCCATCTGGGGCAGTTAGACAATGAGAGAAGTGAGGGTGCCTTCTTGAAAATGCTTCAGAACAACAGCAGAGGCAGCCTCTCTGGGCATCCAGTCCACCCCTTGAAAAGAATCTGTTTGTTTCACCACTGAATTCAAATAAGCCAACAGATTGAAGAAAGCGAGTTTACACGCACCCCTCCCCACCGAGCAGTTATCCTGAGTTCCAGAGTCTGGTCTAATGGATCTCATTTTACCCTGATTTAGATTGTTTCCTTAGAAAAAATAAACAAACGTCTTCTCTCACTCTCAGAGTGGAAAGTACAGAATCAAATGAAAATGAAACTGACAACTCCTCCGCTTCTAACACGCAAGACCTGGACACACGGCTTAACTCCTTCGAGCCTCAGCTGTCCCGTGGATCAATGCACCTACCTTTCAGCATCACTATGAGGACCCACAACATAGAAATAAACTGCTAAGCACATAGTAGGCGCCTCAAAAATGGTGATTCAAAAGCACCAGCCCGTCACATCGATCCCCTGCTCAAAAACTCCCGCTACATTTCCTAGTGCCTAATGGATAGATATTAATTTAGAAACACTCTTAGCTAAGTGGCCATCTAGGCAGGCCTGAAGCCTGTTTTCATTTTCTGTGTCCGTTCTTTTTTTTTTTTTTTTTTTTTTTGAGACGGAGTTTCACTCTTGTTACCCAGGCTGGAGTGCAATGGCGTGATCTCGGCTCACCGCAACCTCCGCCTCCTGGGTTCAGGCAATTCTCCTGCCTCAGCCTCCTGAGTAGCTGGGATTACAGGCATGCGCCACCATGCCCAGCTAATGTTTTTTGTATTTTTAGTAGAGACGGGGTTTCACCATGTTGACCAGGATGGTCTCGATCTCTTGACCTCGTGATCCACCCGCCTCAGCCTCCCAAAGTGCTGGGATTACAGGCTTGAGCCACCGCGCCCGGCTCTGTGTCCGTTCTTATTTAGTTTTCCCTTAAAGGCTATCTGGAGCTGCTGTGATAAGTACAAGCTTGCACGTGGGTACCGGTCACAGGCGCTTGCCGCTCTTCCCTCAACCCCAAAGCAGCCAATAAACCACCTGGACGCAGGAAGAGATCCACATATTCTCTAAAATGCCCGATGGGAACAATCTAGAATCTAGGCATTCCTTGGAGGAACAGAGAGGCTACTATGAGGGTAGTAAGAAGGCAGCCTAGATTCTTCAAAAGGACAATGCTGTAAAAAAGTAAAGCAGAAGGATGATCCAAGATTAAAAGAGAGTGAAGAAATGAGGCCAACCAGATGCAATGCACAGACTTGGGCTGCAGTGGAGGAGGCTTCAGCAGAAGGTTTGGTGGGAAGAAAAAGCACTGGAGCCCCGTGGACCTGCCTGGCCAGCTTGCTTGGTCATCCTGGGAAAACGCAGCAGAACACTCTGTTCCAAGAGGCCCACACGCAGCCCCACGTGCCTGCTGATCTGTGTACACACGTGTGTGCACTCCAGCGTGCCTCATTTAAATCGTGAAGAAACATGATAAGTGGTGCTCCCACCTGGGCTGTGTGTGACTGGCAGCCAGCATGGTGTGGAGGTGCCTGGAGATGGGGAGGGTCCGAAGTGGGGCCAGGGCAGGGCCACGCTGCTCCCTGGAATCAGGGGTGTCTGTCTCAAGCTGCCCCTGTCCCTTGCTGAATGGGAGCCCCCACCAGCTGCCTTGAGGAGTCCACATCCTTACACTCTATCCGGATCTGCTCCAGCTCTGTCACCTCAGCGATGGACTCCTTCAGGTCCTCCATGAACTTCTGCATCTCATCCGAGCCCAGGGCACAGAAATGCAGCACCTGCTTCTTCTCGGAGCCCAAGAGCGGGGTCACCAGTGTGATGCCATGAGAGTAAACTGGAAAGCAGACCCAGGCCCCAGTGGGCTGTGAGCAGCAGCAGCTGAGGGCTGGAGCCAGCCACACAAGAGGAGGGCATGGGGCTTTTGGGGCACTCATGACTCCATCCACCCTACTGTCCAGCCCTTCTTCCTCAACTTGCCCCAGCCACTTCATTCATTCATTCATTCATTCATTCATTCTCAAAGACTTACACTGGTTCTCAAAGACTTACACTCATTCTCAAAGAGGTGGAACTGCATGCCCAGCAGGCCAACTGACTTGCAGAAGGTATACGTGGAGGCGCTCTTCTTCTTTGGACAAAGTTTGAGAATCTGTTCAGGAGATAGACATGTGCCGATGTGCGGACACTCATGGAAACACGCGTGTGCACACATGAATATGCAGACACCCAGGGGGACACATGAGCTCACAGGGAAACACACGCAATGATGAACGTGCACATACAGACACACATACACATATACGTACACACACTATACCAAAATGTGCTTCTTTACTGCACAAAACCCTCCAGGGCCTGAGCTGGCCTGTAAAACCCATCTGACAGGGTCCCTGCCTTACCCTGGCCTTCTGCCCAAGCCACAGTGGTCTCCCTTCTGTAGCTTGAGAAAGGCAAGCTCAGTTCCACTGCAGGCCCATTGCACATGCTGTTCCCACTCCACAGCTCTCCCAGAAGCTTTCTGCATGGCTGCATTACTCTCATTACTTAGATCTCAAATGCTGCCTCCTTAGAGATGCCTTCCTGGACCATCCCCTCTAAAACACAAACCGAAGCAAGCCCAAACCTGCCCTAGTCACTCTCCCTGCTGTCACCTGGTTTGTGGCTTTCATAGCACCTTCCCCCCACCTGATAATACCTTGTCTGTTTTCTTAATTATTTTCTATCTCCCTCACCTACTAAAATGAAAGCTCATTTTAGTAAAGTCATCTGGTTGCTCAATAAACACATTTCTATTCAGCACCTTCTGTGAGCTGGGGCCTGGGAATTCGGGAGAACTCGGGACACAGCCCCTGCCCTCCAGGTGTTTATGGGATATGGAGGAAGACAGTCAGAGTGTCCATCATGTGATTAAACAATATAGCATAACAGCAAAAAGCCAAAACCAAGATGCTAAGTGTTTTGAAGAGAATGAAATAGGGTAAGGAACAGAAAGTGACTGGGCAGGCCACCTTACTAGGTAGGCAGGGAGGGCCTCCTGGAGGAGGTGACATTTTATTTGAGACTTGAATGAAAAAAAGGAGGCCAGGAAGGCAAGAGGAGGGTGCAAGTTCTGGAGGAGCTTTGCAAGAAGGAGCAGCAAGAAAAAAGACCTGCCCCGCAGGAGGGAGGTGGCTCACGGGGGGCCGAGGAGAGGGCGGGGAGGCAGGTCAGGGGAAGGGGCCATGGGGCCTAATGTGCACTCCAGAGAGATCACACTGCTGCTCTCTGGGGGATGAACCCTAGAGCTGGGGAGAGCAGCGTGGAGGCTGGTGTGGTTTGCCAGGTGTGTCGCTGAACCTACCAGGCATGCACTAAGACTGTAGCAGTGTGGTGGGAGGTCGTTGAGGCTTGTGATCATTTTAGAGGCAGTGCCAATGTGGCTCATGGATCGAGAGGGCCGGTGTGAGAGAGAGACAGACCTGATTAGTCCTGCTCACCGTTTCCCAGACCTACAACGAGGCGTGGCTCACGGCCAGCACTGATTAAATACTTATCGAATGGATATCTGTTTTCAAACAGCAAAGAAAGAGTATCTGTGGCTACAGATGTGTGCATGTGCACGGGTGCGTGTGCGCGCGCACGCGCACACACACACACACACACACACACACACACACACACAGATACACCAGCCTCGCCTAGGCCCAGGGACAGAGCACACTCCGCCGAGGCCCTGTTCCTCCCAGCCCTGGGGTGTGAGGCACATACATCCCTGTGTATTCCCTGCCCAGGGCTTCCTGGAGTGTGGAGAGGCCATACTGGGATTGAGTTCATTAACAGTTTGATTGTGCAACCATGAGCAGATCACCTGATGTCTGGGTGGTGTCATCACTTATGAGAAGGAATTAGCATGTCTGCCTGAGCCGCCTCACGCCCACAGCGTGGAAGCACCATGAAGGCAGATCGGTCCCACGGAGCAGGTGTTCTGTCTGAAACCTCTGGGCGTCCTTTCCTGTCCACTTCTGCAACCCTGCGCAGGCTGATCAGGGCAGCAGGCAGCCCCCACCTAGTCCTGTCCCCGAGCAGGAGCCACTTACCACGAGCAGGTCGTTGAAGAGAAACACCTCCCTCTGATGCGCTGCCTGCTTCTGCAGCTTGTTCACATCTGTCACCTCAAAGAGCCGGCTGCAGCACACCAGGCGGCGGTGGGGCACGGACAGCACCTGTGCACAGGATGTGGCACTCAGCGGGAGAGCAGAGGCCTCGAGGCCTCCCCACCCACAGCGCCCACTTTCCAGAAGAGGAGATGGGGCCCGGGGAGAGGGGAGGGCTCTGGTTCTGTGGTGGGGCGGACTTGACTCTCCCCCTCCTCTCTCCTTGTCTGAGGCTCTTTTCCTCGAATGCTCATACCCTGTCCCCAGGGCTCATCCTCGTCATGTCTCTTGGGGAGCGGGGCCAGAGGAGAAGGGGTTCACTAAGTCAGAGTAAATGAGGTGACGGAGGGACAGGAACAGGAGATTGAGAAGAGCTTTCAGGCTGTTCTAATCCAGCCACTGTCAACTTGCTTCCCTCTATGACCTTGAGGGCATCCCCTGTCCCAGGCTGTGGCCTGCAGATATGACACCTCCACCCCTTCTCTATTGCACAGATGCAAGTGTGCAAGAATGAGGGGATCACAGGAACATCTGGCATCTACTCCAGCATATAAGAGAAGCCAGTTGCTTGCAACCAGACAGATGCTAAGATCTCAGCAATAAAGGCTCTCAAAGCAAAAAAGACTGTCCCTGCACAGACTGGGTGGAGGGAGCCCAGCTCAGAAGAGGTCTCCAAACTCCAAACTATCCCGAGCCAGCAATTTAAGGAGGAAGAACTGGAACCCCCACGACATCCTTTATATTTATAGTATAAAGTGGAGCAGCCTACAGAGAAGGCCCACTTTAAATATCATTGCAGGCTTGGAACATGCTGCCGGGGACACAGGTCACTACCAATGGGGAACCTCAATGGTGATGCCACAGCCTAGAGCCTATTGAGCCCACTCCTGCCTTCTACTCATCAGAACCATCCAGGAATGCCTGGTATTCATGCTGTCCCAGGAAAGGGATCCTGAATCGCTTCTGGCCACCCAGATGCTTCCACCCTAGACCACTGGGCAGTCCTTCTTGACATCTCATCTCACTCTCTCCTGCTGCAGTATCTGGTGGCAAGAAGCAATGAGGAAATGAGGCAAGAAAAAAAAGAGATGCAGCGTCCGGCACACAGTAGGTACTCCGTAACTACGATGTGAACGAAAATGAAGAAAGAGTTTTGCAAGGGTAAGGAGGAGAATGGAAAGGAAGAAAGGAGAGACAGGAGATGGGTGACTTGTGGACACTCACCGTCTTCATGCCCACAATGGACTTCTCCACCTTGGTGACGTATGTGACGTGGTCCTCATTGGACTTGAGCTCCTTCTGCTGTATCCTCTCATAGATGCCTACCACCAGCTCCCGGGGGATGTCAGCGCCATCATCCACACCTAACAACGTGGAGTGGGCAGGGGAGGTGGTGGAGTTGGGAGGGGGATGTCAGAGTCCCAGAGACGGACAGAAGAGACCCCCACCCAGCCTGCAGCGCCTAGGGGGTCGCCTTGATTTTCGCCATGCTGTGTTTCAAAGCCTTCAATGGCTGGTGCCTCATACCCATTAAATTAAGAACAAGCTCCTTAGCCGGGCACCAAAACTAACAATGTAATATGGCCCCAAGACACATTTCCTGCCTCATCTCCCGATGTTCCTCAACCAGAGTCTTCGTGCCCACCTCCCAGGCCTCTTTCCTGATGGCCAAATACGGCCTCCGTGTTCCTGCCGACCCTCTGTGCCTCTGCGGTCCTGCCATCTTGCTTGTGTTTGTCTCACCCCCTGCTCCACCCCAACACTCCAGCATCCTGCCAAGGTCCTGTCTTGTACTCTTTTGGATCTTCCTCCTCCTGGGCCTCCCCTCCCCTCCAGTAGGGAGCGAGGTGTAGAGGGATTAGTTTATGAAGAGATTCCTCCCTCCCTGGCAGCAGGGGAGAGCAGGCAGACCCTATGCAAAGCAGGCGAGGACACCCCATCCTGCCTCCTGCTTCGTAGTAATGATTAAACTCTGGCAACAAAAAAAACACCGGCGAGGAACATGCCAACAGGCAAACACATTTCTTCTGGAGAAACAGGCAATTAAAATATCTTCTTTCTACTATTTCCACATCTTTCTTTAATGACTATATGCTTCTTTTGTAAGAGGGAAAAATTAAAAATAAAACAACTTTGGCAAGCATCTCTCAAAGGAGTGTTCCCAGCTACTGAGAGGACACCATGCCTTCTATGCACAGCTCCCTGCCTGGTCTGGCTTCTTCCACATCTGATCTTGGTTCTTCGAGTCAGGCAAATGAGCCATGCAGAGCCAGGGGGACTGAAAGAAATCAGGCTGCGGGTAAGAAAAAGCAGGGAGAAAGCCTGAGTTCAGAAAGCCTCCAGTTCAGGATGGCAGGCTGCATGCCTCTTGCTTCTGAATACTCGGGAGAAAGGAATCTTTTAGAAAGGCATAAACCCACAAAGACAGAGAACAGGAGCAAAGACGCAGGTGCCCCATGACCTAGAAAGTGGACAAGTAAGTGCATGGATTAGCAAACCCGAGAAAGCTGAAACCTAGACCAGCAGAGAGGCTAGAGGCCGCGCGAATACCACACAGCCCCCAAAGGGCTTCGAGCCAGGGGCTTCAGCAGCCCCTGAAGGCGAAGGTGAAGGTGGGCTGGAAATAGGAAAACAGGCTGAAAATGGGTTAGAAAGCTGCTGGGCTTCCCTATCCCCTCCTCACTCCGGCAGAAGACTGGAGGTCCATTCTCTAGAACTCCGGGCTGAGGAACTCCACACCCAGGGTACGGTGGGAGTCTGCTGAAAACCGGGGGATGAAGTTGATATCTATATATTAATCCTCAACCCCACTTCCCAGTTAACGATCTCAGAACTCTGGCAGCCAGAATCATACATTTTGGGCAACAGATTGGACATTTATCTTCTGGGTATCAGCCAGAACAAGAAAAAAAACCTGATGATACTGCAGTGGGGGTCTCCCAATGAAATGGCTTAACTAAATCACCCTACAAGAAAGTCTACCAACAAGCAGGCTCCACCCGTGCTCACAGAGGTATTCACCAGCTTTCGGGTAGCTTGCTCTTAAATATTAATGAGTAACCAGATTTCATCAGCTGTATTCAGAAAGTCTATACCATGAAAGAGAAAGAAATATGGGGGGAAAAACCAGAAGAAATAGAGGCAAGCAGGGAGAAATGCAAACAAGCAAACGAACCAATATTAATATCTTCACAGAGACGGGAGAAGACACTGCATCTGCAAAGCCAGAATTAAATGCGATAAAAGAGGAACATTGAGAGGACAGAAGAGAGCTATTGAGAATAAAAAACATGACCGCAGGAATGAAAAACTTGGTAGGAGACTTGAAAGACAGCGCTGAGGACATGTGTACTGAAGGAAGTCAACAAAGATGGCAGGTAGAAAACTATAGAAGTTAGAGGATCAGACTAGGAGATTCACCAACAGAATAACAGGAGTTCAGGAAAGAGAGTCCAGGAAAATGGAGGGCAGAAATGATCAATACAGCATTGAAGAAGACTTCCCATGACTGGAGGGCATGAGTTTCTAGATGGAAAGGACCAATCCAGCCCTGGGCATGATGGAGGAAAGAACTGTACCACTGCGTGAAAATCCGGAACACAAAGGGCAGACAGCAGAACCTGCAAGCTTGAGAGAGAGAGAGAGAGAGAGAGAGAGAGGGAGAGAGAGAGAAACAGACAGGAGGCCAGCAGCTGGGATGGCGGAGCAGCACTGGCAGCTAAAAGACAGTGGAGGAATACCTTTGAAATCCCGATCAGCATGTTTTCAGGCTGCAATTCTATCCTCAGCCAAACTCCCAACCAAGGGCAAAGACAGAAGAAGACAGACTCAGAAATGCAAGTTCTCAAAAAGGGCCTTTTCTCTGGAAGTAAACTAAAAATGAGGAAGCTCTGACATGCGGGAGCTGGGAATCTAACACGAGAGCGAGGAAAGGAGGCCTGGGATGCTGGCTGTCCCTGGCCCAGCCACCGTCCACGCCGGAGCAGGACCAGAGGCTCCCAGAAGATGACGCTCCTGCACCACCTCCTGGGTCTGGATGTATGGAGAGGAGCTTGACACGTAGGGTGGGAAGCTGGGGATGAACCAGAGGAGGCACACTGAGAATTCAGCAAATGGAAAGAGAAGCATTAACTCCAAGGAGAAGTAGAGATAGGAAGGAGTTGCAATCATTCTGCACTTGCAGACTCAGCTTTGGAGTGTGGGCGGAGCCTTAATAACGTGAACACTGACATGACTGGGATGGGTCAGGGAAGGTGAATGAAAGAGGACTAAACCCTTACTTTCTATAAAGAGGAATTCATAGATAATGCTTAAAATAAAAATAATTAACAAGGGCCCGGCACGGTGGCTCACGCCTGTAATCCCAGCACTTTGGGAGGCCGAGGTGGGCAGATCACCTGAGGTCCAGAGTTTGAAACCAGCCTGGTCAACATGGTGAAACCTCATTTCTACTAAAAATACAAAAATCAGCTGGGTGTGGTAGCGCACGCCTGTAATCCCAGCTACTCGGGAGGCTGAGGCACAAGAAGTGCTTGAACCTGGGAGGTGGAGGTTGCAGTGAGCTGAGATTGCACCACTGCACTCCAGCCACAGCAACAGAAATAATAATTAACAAGGAGCAGCGTATAAAAGAGACCAGATACCAAAGCGTAAATACTGTATATCCTTATTTAGATGAAGTTCAAGGACGGGCAGGACTCATCAATGGTAACAGAAGGCAGAATAGCTGTTTCTCTTGGGCAAAGTTATGGACGGGGACGGGACAGGAGAGAACATTCTGGGCAGGTGAAAGTGACCCAGATAGGAATCTGGGTGTGAGGACACAGTGCACATGCACATAAACGCTCACCCAGCTTGTGGCTTACACACTCACAGTATGAACTTCATGCCGGTTACAAAAAGAGACAGGAAAAAACAAAGAATCAGAAGCATGTGGTTTAGCCATACAGAAGAAATGTAAATCGCTAAAAATGTCAAAAGTGGTGGCCCCTGAAGTAGGTGAGTAGGAGAGGGGCAGGGACTATTTTTTTTTCCTGTGGTAATCCTGTAGGATTATTTGACTTTATTAAATTATGTGCCTGTATAACTTTCTTTTAAAGGCTAAAAAAACATCACTTGAGCACACATCGCACTTTGCCAGTCCTGGAGGCAGGCAGTGCACTGCTCCAGCAAGAAGGACCTGCCGGCCGGTGCCAGAGAGTTATCTGCTGGGCTGACTCGAAGGGACCCAGGACCTCAAGGCTCTGTTCCTGTCTCCTTCCTCATAAGTTGTGGAGGGGAAAGGCTGGCACCACTGAGCCACCAGCCCTGATGTCAGGGGCCTAGAGCCAACCATGTTCCATGGAGGGCAAGAGGCACTGCCCAAGGTGCTTGTTGCTTTGGTGGCAAGTCCCCAGCTGCCTGGCACACAAGCAATGTTCCCAGCCTGCTATGGGTGACCAAGCCCAGAGAGCAGGTGACACTCTGTGATAGGGACGCACGCTCATAGAATGCAGGCTGCACAGAATGAGACCTGCACCGTGGCCTTGCCCCTCCTGGCCCTGTGCCCATCTCCTCACCGCGAAGGTTTCGGATGAAGTCTTCCAGCATCATCTTCCGGTCAGGCTTGATATTGGGGCTGTACATGTCGGTGTTGAGGAGGATGATGGCAAAGGCGAGGATGAAGATGGTGTCGGGGTTGTGGAACTGCTGCACCACTTCGGGGTTGCACATGCAGTAGCGCTGGCTGGGGGGAGGGTCAGAGGTAGAGCGATGCTGAGACCCCGCCCACCCTCCCCCAGGCCTCAGCAAAGGAGGGGAGTGTCCAGGGAGTGTTCCAGCTCTCTTTAGGTCCGGGAGACCACCTTGTACCATATCCTGGTCTTCCCCGTACCTCCAAATGCCCCACATTTCCAGCCTGGGGAGCTTGAGGGCTCAGTCCCTTTTCTTTTCTTCACTTCTGTCTCCCCAGCCCATCCTCCTGCCCACACCAGAAGGGATGTTTCTGGCCCCTGCCCAAACCACCTGACAGTGTTTCCTGTCTCGGAGAGGCCCAGCTTTCCCACCCTGGGGTCTGCTGGGGAGTGCCCCTACCTGAAGGCCTCGATGAGCCGCTCCACCTTCTGGGCCTCCCCCTGCACACGGATGTGTGCCTGGAACTTGCGCAGGGCCTCGTCCAGCTCCATGCTGGAGAAGTCCATCTCGTCCACCACGCAACTGAGGGCAGGCAGGGAGGGTGTGAGGCCAGGCAGACCCCTAAGCACCCCCAACAGCCATTCCTGCTGGCCTCTGTTCCCAGCCAGGATGGGTGCAGGGCCCCCAAGGCTACTCACCCCCAGGGGTCTCCTTTTAATGCCCCAAGAGGACTGTCTCCTCCCACCTCCCATAGTAGACCTTCCAAAGCCCAAATCCTGAGGCCAGGAGAGGCTTCAGTGGCCCAGGACACAGGGGTGGAGGGAGGTTGAACTTGGGTGTTCCCACTCCAAATCCTAGTTCCTTCCTCCTTAACCTCAGAGTATCTCAAGCAAAGCTTTCAACATAAATAATGCAGTGAACACATTTACTCTTTTGTTCCTTCAGCGAACTGCTGGGAGCCCGTGTTTCTCCCTGGTTTAAATTTCACTTTCTCATTTGGGTTTTGAGGTGGCTGAGTCCTCCCTTGGGTCCCCTCTGCCACAGGCTGAACGGTAAGGACTAGAGCCCCTCAAGCCCCTGGGACTCTCTGCAGCCCAGCCCCCTCCAACTGCCCCAGCGCTCAGGGGAGGCTGTGGTGGGAGGTGTGGCCTCTGAAGAGTAAATGACACATGCGATTAATGTGAGGACACAGCCAGACACACAGGGCCAGATTCTGGTCCTGTCCCTCCTGCGAACTTGGTGTGACTCTGGCTCGCCCCCTCACTCCTGGGGCCTCCATGTGACCTTCTGAAAAGGGAGGAGGCTGGAGTCCCTGCTCTCCAAGGGCCTTGCTACCTCTGAAATGCTGCCTCCACCTCTAGAGGGTTTGCCTCTGAATGTCGGAGCTTCAGTGTGAGTGTGTGGGGTCACATGTCAGTTCCTGCAGCTAAGCAGGCACCTTCCTCTGGTCTAGCTCGATCCAGGGGACTCTCCACTGCAGGGCTGGAGGGCGAACCCTCCCAGTGCCCTCACCCTCCCTCACCTCCCTTTGGGGTGCTCTGTCCCCAAGGCCATGTACAGCAAGGAAGGAGTCCAGGCCCAGCAAAGCAGGGGACCCAGTGTCCCCTGGGCATTGCTTTCCCTTTGGGAGAAGCAGACCACAGGCATTAGATGAGATGGACTCTCAGAACTGATGTTTGCCCACTCTGCACCCATTCTCCCTGGTCTCCTCCCACTGGCTGTGGCACAACCCCTGCACACTGCCCCCGACACTGCCCACTGCCGGCACGCAGCCCCTCTCCGCTCCCACGGTCCCTTGGTCCGCCTGCCCAGCACACCAAGGACACAGAAAGCACCTGCTGAGTGGCCCTGTGATGGTGGCATGAACTCTGAGCAGGACCCACTTCCTCTATGACCTCAGCTTCCGTTCTGCACCCACTGCCTAGAAGAGATGGAGACCCCAACTCTGCTGTCAGTTTTTAGGAGAAAACAAGGGGCGATGCCACAGCGACAGTGGTCAGGGCTTGGTGGTCCATGGACTCTGCCTCTCCCACAGTTTTCTGGGGAGAACAAGGAGGAAAGAGCATCACTGAAGACTCTTAGAAAGGGAGGGGTGCTGAGAGGGAGCTGGGAGTCTCTCCTTCTCTTTCTTCTTTCCCTGCCTCCCGAGGCAGGGCCCATGGCCATCTTCAGGCTGCAGGCTGTCCTTGGCTTGGTCAATGCGGGCCCCTCTCAGGCTTGCTGGCCGGGATGGAGGGAAAGTGAGGGTGGCGTTGGGGTGGAGGCGAGCATCTTGCCCAAGCATGAGACTTGGCAGCACCAGGGTCAGGGCATTTGAGGTGAATGGCTGGGGAGCAGGGGCCTCTAGGACCAGCCAGGCGAGAGGCTACTCCGATTTCCCGGTGGCCCTCGTCACCTCCACCCTGCATGCTCTACAGCTGCACTTGAGCTCCGAAGGCCCTTGCAACCACATGCGTGTGTCCCCATAGCCCACCCCATCAGGAGTCAGCACTGGGCACAACGGAGCCACACAGTGACACTGCCCAGGGCTGGTGACCAAGGGGTTGTGGTCCAATGGCTATGGAGGCAGAGCCTGGAGGAGGTGAACCAGTGTGGTCACGTAGCACGGGAGTCAGCGTGCAGGACAGGGAGATGGAGCTGGGCAGCGAGGGACAAGGAAAGTCTAATGAGAGACAGAGAGAGCAAGGAGAGAAAGAGAGGCAGCGACAGGCGAGGAGGAAAAGGCAAGAGCAAGATCCCAAAAGGAGCAAGGCCGGAGAGCGAGACAAAGAACAAGTGAACAACAGAGACAGAGGGAGAAGGGGGGGAGACAGAGAGAGACACGAGGAGAGAAAGAGACGGGGGGGAAGAGGAAGAGACAGACTGGCAGAGATAAAGATGTGCAGTGTGCTGCTGATTGGTGGGGCGGCCACATCCCACCCTCTCCACCTAGGGGCATTACCTCTTGAGAGGCCAAGGAAGAGGCCTGGGTCCTCACAGGGCCCCATAATGGCCCTTGGTCCCTCTGAGTGGCATCCTGCTGCTCCCCAGGACTTGCCCCCATCTGTTCTGTACCCTGCCCCTTCCCTGTTTCTGAATGCTGAGGTTCTGGCACCCGGCCTCCCACATCCACCTTCTTCCCACAGCCTCCTTGTGCCCCAGAGCTACAGACTAGGTCTCCCCTGCAATGGTGGGGGTGCCAGGAGGCCCTGGGCACTGTGGGGGCAGGCTTCATAGGAGGCGGTGGGAGCAGCTGGCGAGGGTGGGATCTGCCCAGCCAAGCACGATGGCCCAGTTTCCAGCCGTTCAGTCAGGTGACAAGCAGCCACTCGCTCGCTCAGGGCTGCGGCTGAAAGCACCAGTAATGAGCCGGGAGCCTGAGAGCCAAGGGCTGGGGGGGGAGAGGCAGCCAGGTGGAAAGGCTGGCCCACAGGGTGAGAGCTGCACACACCCCTCTTGGGCTGCAGGGGTGGACACTTGGGCTGCGGAGCTGGCGGGGCCTCTCATCCAACATCTTGCAGTGTGTGCTCTCAGAACCCCACAGCAGAGTCATAAGGTGGTTTGTTAAAACACAGATCGCTGGGCCCCACCCCAGATCCAGCAAATTAGAATATTTGGAGGTGACACCTGGGAATCAGCATTCTCTGCAAGATCTCCAGGTTGTTCCTAAATTGTGAAACCAACGACTGAGCTGAGTGCAAGGGCAGGCCTCACTGCAGGCTTTTAAAGTGCAAGTCTAGCTGCTCACAGGCCACCAGGCAGCAGTCCTCAGGAGCATGTGTCCCCCCCTGGCTATTGGGGCTGCTTTTCCAGCGGGGGTGGTGAGGGAGGGGTGGATGAAGGCATAAACAGAGGTAGTTCTCCCCCTGGCTGTGCATCCCGCGTCCTGCCTTCCTCCCCTCCCTGCATTTGCCACCACAGGGTATCCGCATTCCATGAACAGGTGTTATCCTGGGTTTCTCAGACCCTGGGGGAAGCTGACATGTTCTGGCTGTGAAAGCCCCAGCTGGAGGGGAGGAAGCTGTGCTGAGTGGTGGGACACTCTACCCTCCTGCATGACGAGGCCACTTCCTCGATAGAGAGCTGGGGGTTGGATCAGGTGACCTCTCAGGACTGGGGCCCAGAGGCACCGACTATCTCTGACACAGATGCTCCCAACGGCGGGTGGCAGACAGCCACAGCAGCACTTCTGGCTGGCTGGCGGCTTTGGCCCCACCCTCCTCCAGGGGGATCACTGATCACTGTTTGCCTTCCTGATGGGGCCTGTGTCATCCTGGGGAAGGTGGCTGGGGTGGGACTGTGCTGTTTACCATAAGCCCTGCTCACTCCAAGGTCCCCATCCCCCGGAAGCACCCATAAACCTTGGCCCTCTCCAGCAGGAGCCTCTGTTCACTCCCTGAGCATAAGCTTCTGCCTCCACCGTCCCCTCTTTCTCTCGCTCCCCTCTCTCACTCTCTGTCCTGCTGCTTCTCTTCTCTTGCAGCATCTACCAGCACTCCTAATCCCCGCCTTCTAGCCTTCTTTGCTGCCCTGGAATCTTCATGGGGAGCTGAGTATGGACAGTTTACCAAGCCCACCCCGCAGCCCCCACCCAGCACAGCCCGCAGTCCTCTCTCCTCGTTGGTCATCTTTAAGGTAAAGAGCACCGCACATTCCCGGGGGGTCTTTCCTGGTGTATCATCTCCCCGTTTTACAGAAGACAAAACCAAGGCCACAGAGGGCTTGCTCCACACTCCCGCAGGTAGGCTTTCGGCTTCCTCGTCTTGGGAGGCCTCTCCCTGCCCCACTGGGCTCTCTCCTCTCCACTCCTGTGTGTGCATGGGGCAGCAAGGGGTCCCTCATGCCAGTGGGGGATGCTACCTCCAAGCTCTTTGCTGAGTATGGCTCTAAGTGCTTTGCTAAACATGCAAAGACTTCATCTTCTCAAGCCTGTGCAATAGGAACCATTATCCCAGTATTTTTTTATTACATACAAGACTTCAGTACACAAGAGAGGCAGCCCTGCAGGCGGACTGCACACATCTCATTCCTTGCTGTCGTCTCCCGGACCAGGTGGCCCCCTGTGCCCTCCTCTCCCCCACCCCTCCCTGGCTCTCTGCTGCTCAGTGGCTGGCGCTAATGCATGTCTTCCTAGGGGCTGTGATCTTACCCAGATGGCTTGGTGGGGACCTGAGAGAGGCCGAGGGGAAGCAAGTGGACGCAGTTACACAGGCGTGCTTATTGGTGCATGCATGGGCGGTCAGCACGGGGCTCTGTGGTCACCCTGCAGGTTCAGAGCTGGCCTGGGTGCCTGGAGCCCACAGACGGGGCCCACATCCCTGACCTCCTGCCTTCCCCTTTCTGGTGCTTTTTGTGCCCCGTGGCAATGGCTGGCTGACTCTTTCAGCAACATGCTCTGAGCGGCTCCCGTGTGCCAGGCTTTGCTAGGGATCCGGTGTAAGTGGCAAGCAACACAGTCTCTGTCTTGGTGCGAGGAGAGACAGGCATTAAACACAGTCAAAAATAATTCTTTACCTACAGTCATGACAAATTCTATGAAGGGAAATGACAGGGTCCCAGAAGAGGGCAGAGGAGATGTATTTTATATTGCAGGTCTCAAAAGT